ATTAAATTTCCTGAATGACCAACCAGCAGAGAATCAATTAGATTTCCTGAATAATCAGCCAACAGAGAATCAATTAAATTTCCTGAATGACCAACCAACAAATAATCAATTAAATTTCCTGAATGACCAACCAACAGAGAATCAACTAGGCATAACAAATGAGCAACCAACAGAAAACCAACCAGAAACAACAAACGAGCAACCAATAGAAAACCAGCCAGAAATAGCCAATGAACAGTCAACAGAGAATCAACCAGAAGTAACTATCGAACAACCTGTAGAAAACCAGCCAGAAATAACAAGTGAGCAGTCAACAGAAATTCAACAAGAAACAACAAGTGAACAGCCTGGAGAAAACCTACTTGAAACAACAAACGAACAACCAACAGAAAACCCACTGGAAGTAGAAAATGAACAACCTGTAGAGAATCAGCCAGAAGTAACAAGTGAGCAGCCAACAGAAAATCAACAAGAAACAACAAGTGAACAGCCAACAGAAATTCAGCTAGAAGTAGAAAATGAACAACCTGTAGAGAATCAGCCAGAAGTAACAAGTGAACAGCCAACAGAAAATCAACAAGAAACAACAAGTGAACAACCAACAGAAAACCAACCAGAGATAACAAGTGAACAACCCGTAGAGAATCAACCAGAAACAACAAGTGAACAACCAACAGAGAATCAATTAGAGATAACAAGTGAACAGCCAACAGAAATTCAGCCAGAAGTAACAAGTGAACAGCCAACAGAGATTCAACAAGAAACAACAAGTGAACAGCCAACAGAAAACCAACCAGAAACAACAAGTGAACAGCCAACAGAAATTCAGCCAGAAGTAGCAAACGAACAGCCAACAGAGATTCAACAAGAAACAACAAGTGAACAACCAACAGAAAACCAACCAGAGATAACAAGTGAACAACCCGTAGAGAATCAACCAGAAACAACAAACGAGCAACCAACAGAAAACCAGCCAGAGATAACAAGTGAACAACCCGTAGAGAATCAACCAGAAACAACAAACGAGCAACCAACAGAAAACCAGCCAGAGATAACAAGTGAACAACCCGTAGAGAATCAACCAGAAACAACAAGTGAACAACCAACAGAGAATCAATTAGAGATAACAAGTGAACAGCCAACAGAAATTCAGCCAGAAGTAACAAGTGAACAGCCAACAGAGATTCAACAAGAAACAACAAGTGAACAGCCAACAGAAAACCAACCAGAAACAACAAGTGAACAGCCAACAGAAATTCAGCCAGAAGTAGCAAACGAACAGCCAACAGAGATTCAACAAGAAACAACAAGTGAACAACCAACAGAAAACCAACCAGAGATAACAAGTGAACAACCCGTAGAGAATCAACCAGAAACAACAAACGAGCAACCAACAGAAAACCAGCCAGAGATAACAAGTGAACAGCCAACAGAGAATCAATTAGAGATAACAAGTGAACAACAAACAGAAATTCAGCCAGAAGTAACAAACGAACAGCCAATAGAAAACCAACCAGAGACAACAAGTGAACAACCAACAGAGAATCAATTAGAGATAACAAGTGAACAACCCGTAGAGAATCAACCAGAAACAACAAATGAACAGCCAACAGAGATTCAGCCAGAGATAACAAGTGAACAGCCTGTAGATAATCAACAAGAAGTAACAAACGAACAACCAATAGAAAACCAACCAGAGACAACAAGTGAACAACCAACAGAGATTCAGCCAGAGATAACAAGTGAACAACCCGTAGAGAATCAACCAGAAACAACAAACGAACAGCCTGTAGAGAATCAGCCAGAAACAACAAACGAACAACCCGTAGAGATTCAGCCAGAGACAACAAGTGAACAACCAACAGAGATTCAGCCAGAGACAACAAGTGAACAACCAACAGAAATTCAGCCAGAGACAACAAGTGAACAACCAACAGAGATTCAGCCAGAGACAACAAGTGAACAACCAACAGAAATTCAGCCAGAGACAACAAGTGAACAACCCGTAGAGAATCAACCAGAAACAACAAACGAACAGCCTGTAGAGAATCAGCCAGAGACAACAAGTGAACAACCAACAGAGATTCAGCCAGAGACAACAAGTGAACAACCAACAGAGATTCAGCCAGAGATAACAAGTGAACAACCCGTAGAGAATCAACCAGAGATAACAAGTGAACAACAAACAGAAAATCAGCCAGAAGTAACAAGTGAACAACCAACAGAGAATCAATCAGAAACAACAAACGAACAGCCAATCTAATACATAAAACAAAAAGATTCTTTTTTAAAATAGTTTGGCTGAATCATTCAAATTTGTTTCAAATTTTTAAAAGCAAAAATCGCAGCGTACACGTTTATCAAACACGAACTAGCAAAAAATGCTTTACTCTACTGAATTTATGGAATACAAAATGTGAAAAAGCTACTCTCTTTTTTCTATGTTACGATGCAATATCAGTATTAGCTAAATTATCATATAGGGAGTTTATATTTACCCATATGTTTATATTACATTCATTTTATTATAATACAAATTTTATATCAACAATACTATATTAAAAATATTATTACTCAAGAATCAATATATTATTTTATTCATTCACACAATAATATGGTTTTGCATTGAAGAATCATTATCATCCTTGCTAATAAAATAAAAGAAATAAAATTTGTTTTTATTTACTAACAACAGTTAAAATAATATATTAGCTTTTCAAATAGTATAATTTATAAAACAAAACAAAAACAAAAATCATTCTTCTGGTGAATCTGGTTCAATTAAAAACATTGGATTTATCTTTTGAACTGAATTATCTGTTTCAAAAGAATCTGAATCATGGGCCTTCTGATTTGGAAGAAGATCCGGCTGCTTAATATGGACAAGCCTTTCAAGAGCCAGAAGTTCTTTTGTCCTATCGTTTAACTTAGCTTTTAGTATTGCAATTTCACTCTTGCTCTTTTCAAGTTCTTCTTCGATCTCCCCTTTTTCTTTTAAAACATTCTGGTGAGTTAGATCAAATGAACTAATTTCTTTATTGAATTTCTTAATCGTTTCATTTTTCTGATCATTTGTACTCTTTAAGTTAGAATTTTCTTTATTAAGCTTATCTATTTCAAGTTCCATTTCTGTGAAATGTGAAAGCAGTTTTTCAAATTTCTTTGGCGAAACATATCTTGTCATCTTTTCGTTTAAACCTGCTATTGTATCTTTGTAAACTTGACACATTTTTTGGAGATTTTGAATTTCAACATTATTTGCTTCAAAAGAACCACTGATTTCATATAGACGTTGCTTATATTTATTTGCTTTAGAATATGCTTTTTGTAATGCAGACTTTGTTGTTAAAAGCTCATTTGATAATGAAACAAAAACATCACGGATTGTATCAAGCTTAATATCAATAGAATGCGATGGAATTGATGTGAATGAGACCAAAGATGTAGAATCATATAAATGATCCGAACTTGGCGGGCTTCTAAATAATCTTAACCATCGAGTAAAAAATATAACTGCTAGAGCAAGAGGCCTTAAAAATACTTCTTTCTTTCCAGTGATCGCATAATAAAGATTTGAAATAGACTCAATTAATTTTTGCTGATTTTCGGATATAGTTTTGGCGTATAGGCATCTAATTTTTTGCTGTTCTGCATAATTATGAATTTTTTCAGTTTCGATTTTATATGCATTATACTCATTTAATACCTTCGAAAGCTTTTGAGATAATTCATTAAAGCTTGCTAGTTTACTTTCATTTTCAGCTATTTGTTTATGTAATTTTTTTATTTCTTCAATTGTATGATTCTGTTCTGCCATTCTTTTTTCTGCAGAAGTTAAAAGAGATGCTGTTTCATCCAATTTGGCAATAGCTGCAATTCCTTGTCGTGCTTTCTCTCTCAAATTTGTCCATTCTTGACTAGGATCAGTGTCTTCTGTTTCCATTATATCGTTTAAAACTTGCCTTTCAGCATCATAATGTTCAACAATTTCTTTTAAAAATAAATTATTTTGTTCAGTTTTCTTTAACTTATCAAGCTGCTTCATGGTTCGATCAAGCTTCATTTTCAGCCTTTCAATTTCATTATTGGAATCTGGAAGTTGCGAATTTGGATTATATTCATCCGAGTAGTTGTTCAATTGTTTTAAAGATTCATTTTCGGATTTAAGATCTGATATTGCTTGATTTCTTCTTTCAATTTTTTTTTGTAGATGCTGTATTTGTTTATTAAGATCATCCACTTGCTCGACTGTTGGACGATCATTCAATTGATTTTGAAGATTCGAATTAAGCTGTTTAAGCTGATTTATTTTGGATTTTTCATTTTGAAGTTCTGAGCTTATTGCTTGATTTTGCTGCTTCAATTCTTCATTTTGTTGTGCTAATTCTTCTGCAGCATTTTTCCATTTTTTATATTTTTCCTGAACTGTTACTAGTGCGTTAACATCATAATGCTTTGTTTGACTTAAAAATTCTTTTTCTTTTTTTACAAGAGCTTCGCGGAGCTCCTTTTCAGTTTGATTTTTTCTTTCGATTTCAGATTCAAATTGAGATTTTTGAAAAGCAAACTCTGCTTCCATCATTTTGCGCGATTCATCTGAAATTTGCAACTGTGCTTTTAAATTTATTGATTCTTGTCGGTAATATAGTAATTCCTTCACTTTATTTTGAAAATTCGATAATAGTTTTGTTTGATCTTTCCCATGATTTGCAATATCATGGGCTTCGCTCATCATTTTATTTAACTCATCAGTATCAAATGCAGAAGTTGATTGAATTCCATCTTCCATAATAAATCTACTAAAATTTTACTCTTATGTACGTTTAATAATAGTCACGAAATTAAAATTATATAAAAAAATTGAATGATAATCATTGAAAATGCTTTATTCATTGATTGTTAATTGAATCTACTTCATTTTTCTATTTGGTGTTTTTGTTGATTCATATAAAGAAATATATATTAATTGATCAATAAAAATTAAATGTGTATTTTCAGAAGGGCAATTAGTCTAGTGGTATGATTCACGCTTAGGGTGCGTGAGGTCCCGGGTCCAATTCCCGGATTGCCCCCATTTTTTTTAGTCATTTTATATTTTTTAATTATTTGGTTTGATCTTCATTTAGTAATTTCATTCATAATACAAGAAATTCTGGGTCAGAAAAATCGTTAAAATACAAATAATGTTTATTAATAAAATTTTTATAAATCATTAACAAATAAAAAAAAGTACATTTACGCTTTAGATGCTTTTGACGGTTTGGTTGATGAAACACATCTCCCTTGCCTTCGTACTCGTGGAGTAATAACATGCGGCTTAAATTTGATTCCTTTAGAAGTTCTATTTCTCTTTGGAGGAACTTCCATTTTATCTTTTAATATTCTTTGTTCATAATTACCACGAGATGTTGGAGGCCTATCTTCTATTATATCATCAAGCATTTCTGTAATAATGACTTCATCATCATCAGCATATGGTTCGGGTTCAACAACACGAGGTGCAGGCTCTTTAATTTGTATTGCACTAGATGATGTAGGCTCATGAATTTGATATTGCGGCTCATGAACAGCAACTGGTTTTGGCTGATCATCAGGCTCATGAATTCGAACAACTCTGTTAGATTTGGGCTTAGATTTCGTATTACTAACTTGTTGGTTATTATCTTTTGGCTCACACACTTGAAAGTTAGATACATTGTTTTCAACAAGATTTGAATTATTTTTAATTCGATTTTGTCGAGGGGTTGATTCTTCTTTTGATTTTGGAAGCTTGGGCTTAAGTCTTTTTTCATCGAGATAGACGAGATTTGGGAGTAGCTTAGCTACTTTTATTCGATATTCTTCAGGGTCATCAACGCATGGATTTCCAGTCAAAGTTAATGATTTCAATCCTTCACAACACGTTAAAAACTCAATATTTGTCAGATCGCTGATCTGATTTTCTTCTAGATCAATAACTTGCAAAGAATCCATTCCCATTAAATCAGAAACGTCAGTAATTTTGTTAAATGCAAGATATAACTCTTCAACTGTATTTGAAATCGTTGAAATTCCTGTAAGCGAAGTAATTCCGCATCGAGCTAAAGAAAGAAAACGTAAATTGGAGAATGTACAGCCAATATCGCGAATACTGTATATTACTGAATTATTTAAACGAAGCTTTCGTAAATTCGGAAATTGATCACCAATACACGTTAATGTTGATTCTGTTGTATCCACTTGCGATTCGAATGTATGAACATCTTCACGCTTACAAGTATTACCTAATTCATAAATATCTTTTATATGAAAAGCACCAATCGTTCCATACTCAATAATTGCTTCCCTAATCATGGAATATAAATAACCTTAATAATTGAATGAATAAACGTACAGCTGAGAATAACGTATATTAATAATCGTTAAAATTATTTAACTGGCCATTTTTCAATTGAAAATATGGTTAATAAAATTATTTTAACTAAACCTAAAAAACGAATATTTTAAGCAATATATGAATGATGGGAATTCACTCCAATTTCTCATCAACAAAAAAATTGCTCAACTAATTAAACTTATCAATCATTTAGATGCAGTCAATGCTGAAAGAGAATATAGCACATCTTTTTTCGAAAATAATTTTGATGATTTTTACGAGCAATTATTAAATAATCATAATCAATCTCTTCAAAATATATATAACCAATATGAATCAACCAATAAAAAATCGGAAAACTTAATGAAAAAAGAATATGAAAATTGTGTATACCAATTATTTAATGTTTTAAACGATAATATAGCTAATTTAAAAGAAAATATCAGCGAAGTTAATTCTTATGTTGATTTTAAAGCATTAGATTTATTTAAAATCGTAAAAATGATCAATAACAATATCGATATCTTTAATCAGCAAATTAAATCGATGTCAATAGAAAAAATTGAAAATATTAAAAAACAAAAAGAGAAATTAATCAAAGAGCATCAAATAAAAATAGACTTAGTCGATACAGAATCAAATTCAAAAATCAAAAATTTTGAAATTGAATCTCAAAAAAAGTTCATCGAATTAAGTGATAATTTTAATAGGACAATCGAAGATTTAAAATCACAACTCAAACATCCAGACGATATGAAACTTACAGTGCCATGCAATAATCAATCATTGGCAGAATTAAAAATCAAAATAAATCAATTTCAATTGAAAATCTCTAAAATCAAAGAAAAAGTTCAATTGTATATTACTTTCATTCAAAATACTTTTTGTCAACAGAAAGAGAATATGAAGAATCTAACAGATGCTTTAAGAGCTGATACAAACAATTTCAAAACGGAAAAACAATCATTAAAAAACAACGACGATCAACTTTTGAATACACACAATTCAAAAAGTCAGGAAAACAAAAAATACGATGAATTATTACTGAAAATGAATGAAGAAGTGAATGAACTTGAAAATTTAGAGAAATTGAAAGAAACAGTTTATTTATCTCTTTTAAAAAGTCATCAAAAAGAAATCGAAGATTTGAAAACGGTTTTTGTGAATATTGAAAAGAGAACAAGTATTCAAAATCAAAATGAAATTGAATTATTTAAGAGAGAAAACATTAATGAACAAAAAATTGCAGAAAAAAGGATGATCATTCATGATCTTTCTTCAGAAAAACAAGCTCTTTTAAATTCACTTTTTCAAAGCGACATTCAAAAATTGAATAACTCATTTGAAATAGAAAAAAAAGAACTCATGAGAAAAATTGACAATGATTTCAAAAACAACCAAAAACAAGAAAAATTACTGATTGGTGCTGTTTCTGACTCACATCGAAACGTATTTTTTGTCAAAAATAACGAAATAGCGCGAAATTACGACTCAGAACTTGACAAAATTCGGAATGAATACAAAGAACGAAATTATGAAGAAGAAATCAATATTTTTTATTCAAACAAACAAAAAGAATTAGAAGAAGAATATTTAAATATTTCATCATCATTGTTAGTGGATAACAATGATGGTGAAATTGAGCGGTTAGATGCTGAAATTAAAAAATTGAATGAATTGAAAAAGTCAAAAATTGAGGGGATTCAAAAAGAAAGAAAATTAATTATCGATTCATTCTTCAATCAAGAAAAAAATGAATCAATTCGACATGAAAAAATCATTAAAAATGATCAAGAAATTATTTCCCAGAAATCAAACGAAACTAATGAAAAAATGAATGATTTAAGAAACGAGTTTAATTCTCGTTTTGAAAAGCTTGAAATTTCTTGTAGCCAATTCAAAATATTACTGGACAAAGAGAAACATAAAAATTGTTCAAGTATAATTGAATTGAATGAAGCTTTCGATCGAAATGAAAAAGAAATGAAAAACATTTTCAATAAAGTAAAAAAAGATGCTGAAAAAGAGATTGAAAAAGTGAAACAAATGAATGAAAACAAAAAAGAAATTATTAATAAACAAATAAATGAAATGAAAGAAAAAGTTGAAAAATTCAAACAAAAAATTGAAAACAAATCATTCAAAAAGTCAGAATTAATTGAAAAATCTAAAAGTGAAGTTCACCAAAAAATTGAGAGAATTCACGAAAATCTAAAAAGTCAACAAAACTTATTAGCATCCATTCTTTCCGACACTTTAAGATATTTTCAAGATAAACATTCAGAAAATTTGAATGCTTTAAATGACCAAATAAGCAAACAAAAAGAAATCAATCAAAGTGGCAATTTTCAAGAAGGAATAAATCCTTCAAATTTAGAAAATCTTCTCATTTTGTTTACAAATAATATAACCAATGAAATTAAAGAGTTTAAAACCAAACATGAAAACAGAATAAACGAATTAAATCAGAAAATAATTGAAATAAAAGAAAAAAATTCATTTCTTCAGAATTCTTGTAATGAAAACACAATGAGAAATGAAGAAGTTTTGTTGATTGAAAAACTTGAAAATGAATTTGCTATTCTTGATCAGCATATGAAGGATATTACCCTTGATCTTGCTAATTATAAAAAGAAATTGGTCTCACAAGAAGGAACTTACAATTCGCAGTTTGGTTGCACACCAACTGTTGCAGTACTGAGGCCGAAAACGGGCTATGGACAAGTGGCTACAAGAGGATCATTAAGGCCAAATACCACAATTACTATTAATAGATCAAAAGCTCTCTTAAAAAATCGCACAACTGTTGTTCATTTTTGAATCAGATATGGGGAAAAAAAATTCTTTTTTTTTTTTTATTTGATAATAAAAATGTTTGTAATTTATGATCATTTTTCTTTTTATTTATTAATGAAAAAATTATTCTATTGAAATTCTTGAAGGTATTATCAAAAAATTGAATAAGATTTATCAAATTATCAATAATAATTTATAAACATCATATGAATCAGGAAGAATCAGATCTTAACTCGAAAGATATAACAAATGATTTTAAAGTACCGTCGGATATAGAATCAGACTTTCAAGATAATCATGTTGATCAAGAAGATGAATTTCAATCAATATTTCAAATTGAATCCAAATATCATGATCTTAAATTTCACAATAGGCCAAAACAAAATTCTCAGAAAAATAATAAAATATGCTTAGATCCACCAGCGATATATTCTTTTAGAGGCCTTGTTGAAATACCAACTCAAATTAAAAAACAAAATTTAAATCATGAAACCTTTTTAAAAGCAAGGATTGCCTTAGAAAAACAATTAGAAATAATTGGTCTTGCAGATGATCATCCTTTAGATAATGATAATGCATTATCTAAAACAGGGGATTTGTATACCTCTAAGTTAGCAGATCAAATTTGTTCTCTTCAAAAATATAAAATTAGAAAATCACAGAAAGAATACAATGAAGTATTATTTTTAAATGACACTTACTTGCAACAACCGGATTTAATTTCTCCAAATGATATTAATCCATACAAAGAATCTAGATTAATTCTTCTTGATCAATTTCAATGCTCATTTAAACCAAATAATAACTCAAATGACGATTTACATGCGACAATGAAGGAAATATGTGGTCATTATAATGATACTGCATTTAATGTTGATCAAGCATTTGATCTTCTTCAGCAAATCACTTGATTTTTAATAT